TAGCCCAGGGACAGCGTTTCCTCCTTCCCCAGTGTCTGGCTGGGGGCTGCTGGTTCCCCCAGCAGCTGCGGCGTTACGGGGTGGCGAAGGGTGCCCCAACACTCCATAAGCCATCCGATGGAGCTGTGGAAATTGGGGTACCAGCGGTACCCCGGTGGCAGAGTCACTTGTGCCCGGGAGACATCAGTGTTCTGCCACTATTAGCTGCTGCTCGTTATCGCCAGGGGAACCAGGAAATCATTACCATGCAGGGTTATTTCTTTATCAATTAGCAGCAGATGTGTGTGAATTGGAATCACTTCTAGGTCACAGAGAGGTCTTTTTTTCTTTTTATTCAGGCTCAGTTTGTATTTTATTTTTAAATCTTGGCCTGTCCTAATCTGCCCTCCCCGGTGTTGTAGCTCCGAGATGGCAACGGAGGATTTATCCCCCAGTTCTGGGACCGCACCTGGTGGGAGCGGTGTGGGGTGGGTGTCCAGGTTGATTTGGTAAAGAAGTATTTTAGGGGAATCAGAGCATTTTCAAGACTTAGAAAGACGTTGTTCTCTGGCCACAGTTTCACTTCCTTAGTGTTTAATACTTGGATTTTGCTGGCTCTTCCTCCACCAGGGAGGTTGGACTAATCCGGGTGTCCGATATACACTGTGCTTACCTGTGTTAGGGAACCACCAGGATATGTATGTTTAGCGTCAATAATTCAGAGTGGGAGCAGCCAGGAGCTGTTCAGATCTTCTACATGTGAGAAACAGGCACCGACGTTTTGCCACCCCTATGGATTCCTGGGTTTTCGTGCGTCGCTTACAGGTGGTGGTTAAACTCCAGCGACCCGCCGGGGAAAACTTCGTGGGTTTGCTAAGAGCTTACGCTTGGGTTTTGTTTTGTGTGCAGAGAAACAGACTCTGCCCCGAAGAAGTTCTGGTCTCTGTAAAAGAAGAACCTCAGCTGAGCCCTGGGACGAGTGATCAGGTGAGGATGGGGGCAAGGGGATGTGGGGAAGGGAGACACGGATCGGTGAAAGCGTCTGGCGGGGTGGGGATTTGAGGTCCTGTTTCCTGAAACGCTCAGGGACATCATGGGGCTGGGAGCTGGCTCGCTCTTTGATCACCTTCCACGTTCGTTTTCAGATCTTTCAACGTCCTTGGTCTCGGCCTTCGATGTGAAAATGACCAAGTTAGGGTTTCTCCGGCTCTCCTACGAGAAGCAAGACACTCTGCTCAAGCTTCTCATCCTGTCGATGGCAGCGGTGCTGTGTAAGTCCCCGTCCTGCCGCGCCGGCCTTGCTGGCACCCTCGGAGGGACCCCGGGGTGGAGCTGCCTCTGCTCTGCTCTTCTTGGGAAGCTCTCTTCTTTCTTGAGGGAACGCTCTTACTCCTTCCATGTCTTCCTTCCAGACACCTGCGTTTTTCCATCTTCCCAATGACCAGTGTGAGGCAGAAACAAGTTTAATGGGTCAAAGTAGAGGATAAACCTACTAAACTCCGGCTTGGCGGGTGCTGTAGGTTGACTCTGCCCTTTTCCTGTCTTTGCAGCTTTCTCCACGAGGCTTTTTTCCGTCTTAAGATTTGAAAGCGTCATCCATGAATTTGACCCGTAAGTCTCCTCCTCTCCTCTTGTTCGGGGGGAGGGGGGGCTGCTGGGTTTTTCTCTTCTGGAGCATGTGGAATTCAGGTGGTGTTTGCTGGGCTCGGGTTAATCCCACAGGAGGAGGGATTTGAAAGGCAGTGAAGCTAGGTTTTCCTCTTCCAGACCCAAAATTCACTTCTTGGTTCCCAGGGCTCATCCTGCAGCCTGGATCTAAGCCGGGTTGGTTGCCCCACGCCACGCTGGGCTGGGGTTGTTCCCTACCTGAGCAGGGCACAGCGGGAGAGCGCTCCCGTTGCGACTCATGTCCGCCTCCCCGGCTTGTTGCCGACTAAATTGGGGAGGATGTTACCTGTGCCGATCCCCTGGGAGGGGGAATGAACCTTTGCAGCCGAGCTTTGCAGCGCTCCAGGAAAAGCGGACCCATTTCCTCCGCACGGAAAACGCCCGGTCAGCCCTTACAGCGCGCTGTTACCCCGAGGCATCAGAGGGTATCCCAGCAGGAACACAGTTGGGCTTGCTAAAATCCACCTGAACGCTCCCGGGGGCCGCGGTGGTGACCGGAGGAGCAGGGAGCGGTCGATACACCCGGATGCAGAGGGTGCTTAGTGTGTGTCGCCGTTACAGGTACTTCAACTACCGCACGACCCGCTTTCTGGCAGAGGAGGGCTTCTATAAATTCCACAACTGGTTTGACGACCGAGCGTGGTACCCCTTGGGCAGGATTATTGGTGGGACCATTTATCCAGGTGAGCCGTCGGGCTTCCGCTGAGCGGAAACGCACCTGGCACGAGGGAAATTGGGGAGAGGGGCAGGATGCAGAGCCTCTCCCAGCTGGCATTCAGGGAGGGGAGCGCAGCGGGGGGCTGTTGAGGCATCCTGGCTCCTTCCTGGGGAGACTTTCAGCTGTTCAGTGCCAGCTAATGACCCCCGGCGCTGCGAGCAGGCCCGGCGCACCCTGACAACGGTTGTTCCTGTCCCGCAGGCCTGATGATCACGTCGGCAGCGATTTACCACGTGCTGCACTTCTTCCACATCACCATCGACATCCGGAATGTCTGCGTGTTCCTGGCTCCCCTCTTCTCCTCTTTCACCACCATAGTGACTTACCATCTCACCAAAGAGCTCAAGGCAAGGGGCGGGGTGGGGGGAAGAATCCCGGAGGCTTTTCCTTCTCGGAGCGGCGCGGGCTGAGGGGGCTGTTTGGACAGGCAGCTCGCAGCACTGTCAGAGCCTGGGGGGTGGCCACCGCGCCAGTCGAAAACGAGAGCTTCTGGGAAGCGTGACCTGGTTTGAAATTCCATTCCAGCGCTCAATCTTGATTCCTTTGAGGCATATCCCAGCATAGGATGGCGTGATAACGGAAAAACCATCGGTTTTTCCCACCCTCTGGCTCTGTTTTTTCCCTCAGGATGCGGGAGCAGGACTGCTTGCTGCCGCCATGATTTCCGTTGTGCCTGGGTACATCTCTCGCTCCGTTGCCGGCTCCTATGATAACGAAGGTGAGTTTGGGACGCTCGGAGCAGGGAGACCTTCAGCAACTTCGGGTGTCATTTTGGGTGCAGTTTACTAACCCCACTCCTTGGAGATGGGTGCTTGTTCTCACCGATGTGGTGGAGGAGAGGGGGTGTTTCCCGACTCCACGCCCCGTTCTCTGAGTATCCTTTGCCAGTGCGGGGTTTTGCCACCTCCACAAACTCCACGTGGGATCGGCTACTGCGCAGCTCCCCGTGGGTTTGTCTTGGTTCTGGGGCTGGCAAAGGCAGCGATCTTGCCGATGCCTGAGGGAGTCAAGAATCCGGGTTCCTCTCAGATGGCTGGGTTACTGGGGGCTGCGTCGGGAGTCGCTGTGTCCGCTGGCGTGGCTGGAAGAGGCCAC